GGAGGTGTGTGCTCTGAAGGGCGTCCCATATGAAGCCCTCTTTGGGATAGTGCTCTTCCTCAAGTGTCTTTTTCCCAGAGAAAATCCCGAGTTTGGGGACCAATTGTAGTGGGGGGAAAGGAGAATTTGTTGGATGTGTTCAGAGAATCCCAGGGCCGAGTGGGGAGGAAAAGAGGGTCCTCTTCTGTCTTAGAGGGGAACCGCTAATATTAAAGTTATTTTAAAATACCACCGGTGATTATGACCGCTGGTCTCTGTCTTCAGGGCCGCCCCTTCTCTGCTTCTTGGCCTTGGAGATCACTTCTTTTAACTTGTGCCCCGTGTGCTCAGTTTCCAGGCTGATGGGGCCCTCCGGGGCCATGAACATGGCCGGCATGGGAGCTCTGTCAGGAATCGCGGAGGCTGCCAAATCCATGGCCCCCGGTCTTCACGCCGCTCCGCGGAGGAAAAGGAGGGTGCTTTTTTCGCAGGCGCAGGTCTATGAACTGGAGAGGCGCTTCAAGCAGCAGAAGTATCTGTCGGCGCCCGAGCGGGAGCATCTCGCCAGCCTCATCCACCTCACGCCCACCCAGGTAAAGATCTGGTTCCAGAACCACCGCTACAAGATGAAGCGCCAAGCCAAAGACAAGGCGGCTCAACAGCTGCAGCAGCAACAGCCCCCGGAGGGACCCGGCCTGTGCCAACCGCCGGCCCCAACCCAAGCGGCATCTCCGAGACGCGTGGCGGTGCCCGTCTTGGTCAAGGACGGCAAGCCTTGTCCGCACAGCGCAGCCTCCTCCGCCGCCGGCCAAGCCGCCGCCGGCCAAGCTTCCGGGGCCGGGGGCAGCAGCGGGGCAGGCGGGAGCGCTGCTCAGCATCAGCACCCGCCAACGCAAGGGACCTCGCTGGGGCAAGCCCCGGACCTGGAGGAGATGTCTCCCAGCCCCCCTTCCTTGCACGGTCAAGTGAGCTCCCTGGCACAGATGGACGCGGCTGCTGTCGATTATAGCGGCGGCCTGGTCAATGCCAGCTTGCTCTACGGGCGGACGTGGTAATAAGCCCTCCACCCCAGCGAACCGTCGAGGTGCATCTTCTTCCTTCTAGTGTGGGCGTCCTGGATCGGCAGCTCCCTTGGCTTCTTTCCTTCCCCTTCGGGGTTCAACCTGGGCAGGGAATCTTCCCTGCTAAATTGGGCATTGCAGAGGAAAAGGGCCTCTCCCCCGCGCCCACCCTCAGCTGCTCTGCCCACCCGAAGCCAGCAGACACGACGACCCACACGGGGCCTCCGATGGCCAAGTGTAAAAAAAAACCCAACACAGGTGGGGAACGTTGTTAGGTGCTCTGTACAGTAGGTCCCTCTCCACAGCTTCAAGGAAGGGGGGAAAGGCCCCCTTTTCCTCCGAGACAATTCCCGAAGTGGAGAGAGAGGGTAGCTCCAGATGTTGGCTGGGACAAGGTTTCCCTGCGCACCCAGCTGAGAAAGTCAACTAAACAAGATCAGCAACCGCCTCCTGAAAGTGCAGCTTACTTCTGGTGAACCAAACCGAACTACAAATAACGCTAATAATAATTTTACCTGGGAACCCCTTAAGTGCAATCTCATTATTACTGATTGAGAGCTGATTGAATTGGAACTCAAGGTCGGCGGGCGAACATTATCCGCCATGTTCACAAAAGAGAAGGGGCGACATTCGCAGGGAGGAGAAGGGAGGGGAGGAGACCTACTTGTATCGTTGCACCCGGTAATGGTTAATTTTTTTTTAAAAGCTTTGAATCTGGGGTTCAGGTTTAAGAGAGGAAAAAAAAATAACAAAGATTTATTGTTAAGTATTATCTAGTAGGGATTCGGTTGTATGACTGGCAAACATCAACTGTAATGCAAACTACGATCCATTCCAATAAAAGGCAAATGGGTTAATAACGGAGATGAAATCGTCCTTAGCAAAAAACAATGTTGCCTCCCTGTGGATTTCTTATCAATGTGGCAAGGAGTTTTCCTGCAGAAGGAGCTAAGAAATAGCACGGACAAACTTGGCGAAAGGGCGCACCTACCTCTAATCGTTTGAATCTTTAATGCTTGTAAAAAATGATTGAATTGCTAAGTGGTTTCTTAATCGAAGGAAAAGAGAGTGTTGCGGAATCCGTAAAAAAAAAATCTTTGAATTATTTAGCTGCAGGTGTAGAAAACATATCAAGAAAAAAGAAGGAATTAGCCAAAATGCAAACTGTGAGAGGCTGAAGAGGAAACGGAAAACACTTTTTGCATGAGTTTTTCTCAGACTGCACTCCTAACAGAATATAAAGTACTAAACCCCCCAAAAGCTCAAATTGTGACAATAGTTAGGCTGCTATCTTATACTCATTTTATAGGATAAATGAATCCAGGAAGGTTTACGTTGGGGTAGTTAGGAAGACTGCTTTTTGGGAAAGGCTGTTTAAAACCCCTTAAACTCTGCAGGATGCAAGCAGACTCAGTTATGTGCATGATTACAGCCACATCGCACCTTGATCTGGCCCCGAGCGATGCTTTTACAAAATATTGTCAGTCATTACATATATATTTATATTATTATTTGCTTACATTTTTAAAAGAAATGAAGGTATTTTCTAATCCAGTTTCTATGTTTGATTTGGTTTCAATTATCACACAATTGGTGAATAATATTTTTTGTTTGATCCGGAACAACCCAACAATATTTTTCTCCTAGGGGAGCTGCAATTCCATTTGTTTTGAGATGTATATTTTAATACATGAAAAAAGGTTTGGCTGATCACTTTGACCACCTTGAAATGAATACAAATTGAATAAAGTAAAGTCTGAATCAGAATCTACTCCTGATTTACGATAGTTAAGAAAGCAATTGGTGGAATGCATGCAAATATTAGGAATAACAAGAAAACTTAAACATTTTTTAAACAAGAAATTTTCTTATGGAAACGTCAATTAAGGGAAACACCAAAGATCAGGATTTCCCCCATTCCCGTGAAAGTCTCGGTTTCAGGTGTATGGCGGCAGCCTATAATCCTTTAATATTCCAGTTTGCAAATCCTAATGGAACCATAGTCCAAAGCATTTTTGTTGCTGATTTAAATAGATTTCTCTTCTAGGTTAAGTCGTTCAGCATAGGAACTTAAAGAAAACAACTGCAGAGCTGTTGTCCAGCTCCCATTCATTTCAAGTAAGTGAAGGAAAAATTCCCTTTGGAATGTGCAGAAGATAAGGCTAGAGGATACGGGTGAGAGGTTTGATGAGACCTTGATTCAGATGAGCAAAAAGTCGGGGGATAAATATTTTAGTTCAGAGTAGTGATATTTACTTTCAATTATGCAGACAGCAGGAACCAGTTCCACTGAAATAACTTAGAAGAGGCCAGTGCACACCACCAAAATTTCGAATGCATTTGCCTTATATTTTGTTTAAGTTTCTAAATAAAAGTATGTGAGATAATATTCGCCTGAGAGGAAGTTCCATTGTATTAAACGAGGTTTTACTTTGGAGTGTATATGCTTAGAATTTCACTTAAAATAGTGGATTTTAAAATATCATTCGCTGGATTGTGTCTTTTTGAAGGATTTTGGATTGTTAACCTATTCAGAAGTAAAAGCAATGGATCCCAGCAGAACTTCATTCCTTGTAATCATTCCCAGAATCGTGTAAAACTCAGGTTTGGGAACTGGTACAATTAATGGGAATTTGTAGTAGGGCCAAATTATTCTAAGCCGAACTAATTTTATTGGAAGAGTTTAGAGTCCATACACAAAAGTGATCAAATGCCTTATATACTTCAACATCTTGAAGTTGGAACACCGAATATCAATTCAGGAGGAATACTTTTCATAGAATTGCACTGGATTATACACTTTGAGGTTTGTTTGAAACAAATACAGGGCTGGACTATCATCTGGGTAAAACTTTATTTGAAAAAAAAATACTTACTTGCAAAGCACAGGCATCAGTTCTAAATAGCTTTAGTCTATAATTCCAAGCACTTCTAGGAGAAAGACTGGTTGGACTTAGTGGAATTTATTTCTGAGTAACCATGCTAAGATTGTAATCTAAATTTAATCCTCTATTTCGATATATTCCGGAGGTACCCTTACTGGGTGCAACAGCATCTCTTTTGAATAGACACATGTAGGATTGTGCTGTAGTCCAATTATCTTTTTCCATTGCCCTTTTGTTATTGTATTTATTATGTTGAATAAATGATGGACAAAACATAGTTTAGCTATTTACTTAAGAACACCACTGCATTTTCTTGTGTAGTAAGAAAGTCGCTCACTTTCTTTGGACCAACTCATCTACCTAAATTATGTATTAAAGATGTAAGGTCTCCCCCACTCTTTTTCTAACTATACTTTTCTTTAATATTAAAGAATAAAGATTATTAAAGGAGGAGAGAGAAGACTGTAGAGGGAAAGAAAGAGCAGGGAATACATGCAAAATAGAAAATATACAGGACCTGGGACTGTAAGGAACAGATTATTTGAACCATTAACTTCAAGACAGAAATTTGCAGAATTTATGTTAACTGCTTATTTTTTTTTCTACTTTTATGTGACTGCTTTGCACTATAATGCGCATTTGCCAAGAACTAAGTTCCTTGGAGATAGTTACTCCTGAGTAAGCATGAGATTGCAGCATGGATTTCATTCCTAAATATGGCTAAGTTGGCTTCAAACCCAATTCTTTGTAGAACTCATTTGTAAATATTGTAACGGGGGGATTGGATTGGGCTATATATGAATCTGGGAGCCTGTTCCTTAGCATTTTATCAAGTCGGATTCAAATTGTTTCCTTGGCAAAAATAGGGGAGAAGATTGCCTCTTCTCTCCTCTTTTCGCCAAAGGAAACAATCTGAATTAGCGCTCTGGTAAGGGAATGTTGCTAAAATGGTTCGAAAAGGAGTCCCTTTGAACCTAATAATAGAACAGGTGAGAATATACATTTCAGCAGACCAAAGCTTGAAACAACCCCTCCCCCGTCCATTCAGAAGAGACCTAAACTTAGGAAGGTGCCAGGTTTTCAAAATTGCAAGATTTTCTCTGAAAGGAGTACTGTAGCTAGCTCATTCACCCAATTTTATTTACATAGGCAGGCAGAAAATCATTGGAAAGATGATTTCCAATGGCAAGAATGAGGTGCAGGTGGGCTCTAGGGCTGCAGGGCTCGGGTGAACATTTAAGCAGCAAAATTTCACAGCAGACAATAGAGTTTGAATGCTTTGAAGGTATTACTTCAAGTAGAAATCCTTTTCAAGGCTTTTTTCCATTTCAAGAACTTGAAGGAATGGAGATGTCGAATAATTTTCTGGTGCCTAGTATATTGGTGGACTCCAAGCCATAAAAAAGCATCTTAATTCCTACGGGTTTTTTTTAAAGAAAACCAGAACAAGAAGCTAGATGGAAAGGTGAGAAAATGGAGAAACTGATACTTTTAAAAACAAAATCTTATTAAGAAACTATTTTGTTTAAGGCTAAGTTTATCCAAAATGAATAAAAAGTATTAAAGTAGCCCCACAACAACTTTACAGTTTAGGTGGGGGCTACAGGTTTAATTTTAATCCTAGTCGTTTCGTACATTTTACCCCCCCAAAAAACCCGGAAGGCTTCTTAATACCCAGGACGTGGATGCTGGATTGAGAGAGAGCGAGAGCTCTTTTGCGCAAATACCTCATTTCAGCAGACCGATATATGCTATATCCCCGCCAATTTAACTACGTATCTCAAATCGATGAAGCCCAGAGACAGAGTTAACTCCGCACTAGAACCGAAGTCCCGTCGCTTCTACTGGCAGTTAGGCTGCCAGTACTGAAATTAGTGGCCTCCACGCCTTTCTGTGCGAGCAAGCAAGCAAGCAAGCGAAACTTGGATAGCTCCCTCCCCAAAGCATTTCTCCCTAATTTGCTTTCAAACTTAAAGGTCCTTCTAATGAAAAGCAAAGCTGGCCCGTTGCGGAGAGCCGCGAGCACTTCTCCTTCTCACGAAGCCCAGGGAAAAGCTTTCTCCCCCCATTCAAGCTGCGGCATTTTTTCAGAGCGTTTGAAAGAAAGGG